GATCTTCGTGTGCCATGAGGCAGAGATTTGCAGCTTCGTCCTCCTCTTGGTCGGTTGATTCGTCGCCGGAATCGCCACCCCAAGAGATGTAGGCCCTTTGCTTCTTGAAGCCAGACTTGTCCTTGCCGTGTTTGGCCTTTGGACACCTTGGCTTGATGTGGCCAATCTCGCCACAGCCGTAGCACTTGGGAGGACCGTCTTGCTTCCTTCCCTTCCGCTCAAATTCCTTCTTCATGAACTTGTGAAACTTCTTGATGACGAGCCCGAATTCATTGTCGTCATCGCTTGAAGCCTCTTCCACCGGCTCCTTGGTGGCTTTGAGAGCTATCCCCTTTTTCTTTTGTTCATCCAAAGACGGGGTTAGGATAGTAGATTCATAGGTTTTAAGATTACCTCTTAGCCCGTCGATGGTGACGTTGGAGACTCCGATGGATTCGTAGGTTGCATCGGCTTTTGACCTCCATTCGGGTGTGAGACTCCGCAGGATTTTCCTCACAAGATCCTTGTTGGTGTAGGTCTTTTTGAGGGCATGAAGATCGTTGATGATCTTTGAGAACCGGTCAAACATGTCATCGATTTTCTCACCTTCTTTCATTCGAAACATTTCGTACTCTTGGGTGAGAAAATCGATCTTGGCTTCACGCACTTGATCGGTACCTTCGTACGTCACCTCAAGCTTGTCCCACATCTCCTTAGCGGTTGTGCAACAGGAGATCTTTCGGTAGTCATCGGGGTTGACCGCGCAATATAGCATGTTGATGGCCTTTGTATAGTTTTCAATCTTCTTGATGTCCTCGGCATCAAATTCGTCTTTGGTCTTTGGGACCGTGGTTTCTCCCACTTTCTTCATAGGGATTTCTTCGCCATTTTTAATCACCAACCACAATTGGAAGTTGGTGGAACGAATATAGATTCTCATCCGTTCCTTCCAATAAGAGTAGTTGGTGCCATCAAAGAGTGGTGGCCTAGAGGTTGATTGTCCTTCTCCAATTCCTGCATAGAGATTTCTAGAAGAAGAGCCCATGATCGCTTTACTCTCAAACGGTTAAGTTTGGACGCGAACCAGGCTCTGATACCAATTGTTAGAATAATAGACCAACGCTAGAGGGGGGGTGAATAGCGTTTGATCAAGAAATCGCAGGAATAAAAATGAATAAGCGAGAAGTAAAGAGAAAAGAAAGAGGCACACCGATTTTACCCTGGGTCACCCCAACTTGTGGCTAATCCAGCCTCCCGAGAGACTCTCTCGAGCTACACTACTATCTCGTTAAGCTTAATGGTGCTTAACAAACCCGTACAACTTGAGAATTCGAGTCACACGAACCTCAACGAACCTTCGAAGGAAACAACCCTTCCTTCGAACAACAAGCTAAGAGAAATACCGTCTCTTGTCAAGTGTCTAAGAACACTAAAAACACTCAAGAACAATACTCTCTTTTTAGAGTGGATATTGAGTAAACTAAGAACGCTCAAGAAC